TAGGGAAATATCACATCAAATCTTGTATGATTGTCACTTAGGATTTATCAGATCTACCATATAATTATTATTTCTCTTGGAACAATTTCTGTTCAACATTTGAGTTAACTATATATTCAAATGAATGTAGTAAGGAAATTATAAATAAGAAATTTAGATTTATTGTAGATATCTCGTGGCTTTGTATTTCTTTGTGTAAGTTTAAACATTAATATTTTCCCATTTTCTTACTTGAATGATTATTTCGGTAGCATAATATTGCATAAGATTTGTTTGAGCACAATGTGTTACTGCAACAAAACTAACCTTTAATCCCTGGATACCAAATATCCCTGGAAAATAAGGCCAATTTGCAAATTATGGCAAATTTTTAATTAAAAAAATTATGCTTTGTAATTTTTAGGACTTGCCCTCAAAGTTTGATATACTGGATTTTCCATTGAATTTATCTATAATCATTACAAGTAGATCAGGGATATAATGGCAATTGGGATTATAGTGTAATTTATTAGTTGTCAGTAAAACATTATCAGATCAAGAGATCAAACACTTTGATTTGCAGAAAACAATACCTTAGGGTTAAAACCTGAAAAATGTATATCCCTTATTGTTTTTAGTTCTAGATAAGATTTTAACCATTGAAAAGTAAAACTGATTATTTATAGGTATCATCTTTAACTACTGGCTATCTTATAAATTCAGAGTTCATGAAATCTTTTTTTTCCCTGGTGGTCCTTGAAGAAAATCTGCTGGTCCTCACTACTATCTATTGCAAAATACCCAAATTGTGTCTGTCCTTTGCAAAATTTTTAGTGGTCACATCCTTCAGACCACCACTTTTCATGAACTCTATACTGGGCAATACTACTGGTACCCATTGTGATGCAAAATATGACTGATTACAATCTTTAATAAATAGGCAATAATTAACCTGAATAATTCATTCCCTCCCTGTGATAGACTATCCCACTTGTGAGGACATGGTAATTCAAGCATGGAAATATTAATTAACTTCTGAATTATTTGGGTTAGGCAATACTGTAGGTGTCTCTTGATATGCAGGATATGACTTTTACCAACTTTAATTGGTGGTCAATACAATGGGTGTCCCTTGGTATGCTGAAAATAGCCCTTATATTAAACCGGGCTATTTTGCATTATCACATTGTATGTATGTCTTTTCATGCAAAAATAATTTTGTCACCCTTTTCTCACATTTAGATAAACAGAATAACTTTGGTCAGCAGCTTAACAGTGATGAGTTGTAACGTGTCAGCACTTTTTAGATCTATCAGACACCTACATCTTGTTTCCCAATACTTTGAATTTTTCATTATGTGTAAAAAACAATATTTTCGTCACAAATTTTCCCAATACTACCGAACGGAATGACTGCCTTTCTAATCTGCTTGACAGTGATGACTTGTTATGTGTAAGCCCTTTTCTGATCTATCAGACCAATTCTTCCTGTTTTCCTATACTTTGAAGTACAAGTGGGGGTATGCTTAGCACAACAATGCATCTAACTTCGTGTTAATGTCTGATACGATTCCAGGTTTGTTGTGGGAGTAGATATCACTTTAAAGATATATTTTTTAAGAACATTGTCTGTACTTTAAGTGTCAATCCTTATTTCCTGTATGTACAGTTTGTTATTTGCCTTTTATGTATTTTTTTTATTTTTGATGTCTGATTTTCAATTAAACTGTCTTTTGATTTTGGTATCTTAGTACTTGTAATTGATGCCCACACCTACCAAGAAAATCAAATAAATAGAAAATATTTGAATTAATGAATAATTAAAGCTGTCTTTTAGGACACAGAAATAGTTTCTTAGTTTATAAGCAGATAAAGTAAGTATTGTTACTAATGTATTTCTATTTTCATTTTTTTTAATATTTGCTTGATTTCACAATTATAGTGATATCAGCATTTTTGTACATGGCCTTCCTAACGTATGTCTGTTTATAGAAACACATCTTATGAACATGGAAATGGTATTTGTTTCCATGATCGTGGTATAAGTTTGGAAAATATAGAACATATTTCTGTTCTGTCTATGTTCTTAACATACTCTAATGAATGTTTTGGAAGGATGGGTTTTAATGTTGTTTTATTTTTGACATATTAAGGATGAATTCGTAAGAGATCTTACATCTTCAGAATGGGATATTTAGATTTGACTTTGTTATTGGAAAGTGTCACTTTGACAGTGAACCAAGTAAGATTTAATTATGAAGGAAGAATTTTAAAATTCATACACTTTATTTGGGACTGGGTGGTCTACAGTTATCACTAGGCTGTCAACACTTAGATTGTAAAGTTGGAACCTTGCTCTTGACAAGGTGTGTTGGACTATGATCTAATTGACAAGAATTGCTAGATTTTCTGTCAAAGGTTAGTGGGTCTCTCTGGTTACTCTGGCTGTAGCCACCAAATCAAAACTTGCCATCATGATATAACCAACAAACAAACTTTATTTTGCAAAATACAATGTTACAGTCATACCAAATTAATTTATGTATACTATTTTGTTTGCACCTGTCCTAAGTCAGGAACCTGATGTTCAGTAGTTGTCGTTTGTTGATGTGGTTCATAAGTGTTTCTCGTTTCTCGTTTTTTATATAGATGAGACCGTTGGTTTTCCTGTTTGAATGGTTTTACACTAGTCATTTTTGGGGCCCTTTATAGCTTGCTGTTCGGTGTGAGCCATTTGCTCTGTGTTGAAGGCCATACTTTGACCTATCCTAGAATGGTTTTCTTTTACAAATTGTGACTTGGATGGAGAGTTGTCTCATTGGCACTCATACCACATCTTCTTATATTTAATTTATTTATACGATAAAAAAAGATGTATACATTTTGCCTAGAGCTTGTATTACCGTCAGTGCCTTGTCTTGTATCAATAATAAAGGTTTTTTATTTTATTAAAACTATAAAAAAAGATCTCTCATCTAAAAAAAAAAATGAAAGAAATTATCACTTGCTATGCAGACATATATCCATAGAAAAACTAATCAATTTAAAATGCACAATGATACCAGGTTGTAATTGTTAAATTATTAATGTAGATGCAGAGCTGACTCCTTTAAGAAACTGATATTTTTCTGACTAACTTCTATTGGGTTTTTTGTTTGAAACTGATCTTTTATTTATTATAAAGTTATGATGAAGATTTGATGTTAATGTTTTTTATGTAGTGATAGCGGGATGCAGTCTTGGTTTTCAGAATTTGACATGTTTTTGTTTTACAGAATAATACTGTTTTATCTCAGATAGGATTAGTAGAATTTTCTTGAGATGCAATGTGTCAGCTCATGTGACATTTCAATACGTTAGTAATGGCCCTTGACCTAGTTGATGGTTTTTTGAATAAATATTGTTAACTTGTGTTTTTAAGCTTTATATTGAGAATAAAACATAAGGTGAATTATCATTACTTATGACTAAAGAAATGTGGTGTGTTATGATAATAATAGGATTGATAACATCATTGATGTTTATACAGCAACCCAACAACAAAGAGGACTGCATCCAAATGCCTAGAAATTCAAAATAGAATTTCAGCTTTGGCAGCAACCTTTCATGAGATTCCTCAATTGAAACAGGCACATGTGCAGATGCAGAATTCAATATAGATATGAAAATAAGAAGATGTGGTATGATAATGCCAATGAGACAACTCTCCAGTATGCTATTTAAAGATTCCCATAATTACTCAGATTTTTAATGAAAATAAGAAGATGTGGTATGATAATGCCAATGAGACAACTCTCCAGTATGCTATTTAAAGATTCCCATAATTACTCAGATTTTTAGTAGCATGTATGAAAACTTACACTGTGGCCAAAGTAAAGTACAAACTTAACAAACATTAGTTCAACTTGGTAAAATTTCAATAACTACTTCAGTTAAAAGTATTAAATTTGAAAGTCCAGAGGTTCTAACTATTGTATTATCATGGTTAAAGTAAAAGGAGATGTGTGGTAATTATCATGTATATATACATGAATGAAACAGCTACCCATCAATATATACGACCACAGAATCATGTTAGACCTTTTTAATCAGTCAAACTGTTAAATGATAATGTGTAAACATGGTAAACGTAGATTATGAACAACAAATCAAGTCCAACTGACTGTTCATAAACAATCAAGAATCATTAGATTGAAAGGTTCAAAACTTAATAAATCCATTAAATATGTTTGAAATCTTCTACAGCTCTGTCCAGTACAAAAGTTATGACTCCCTCTTTTTATTGAAAGCCAGACTGCACTTAATCTTAAGTCCATTTGTATCAAGTGAGTAAGTCCAGAAGAAAACAATTTATTTAAAACTTTATGGACATAAAAATCTATTTTTACAACAATGAACATGTTAATCCCTACTTATTTCACATGAAACAATGTATTGTTGTTTATGCTTTTTTCTTATACATTTGATTTATTGTTTATAGGTCAAGTTGAAGTAATCTGCCACCATCTGGCCATTATATATATGCTACTTTTTAAAGAAAAGTGAAGGACTTATATGAACGACTTTATTTTTCAAACATTGACACCAATCTATGATTGTTTTCACAAAAATCTTATGAGAAAAATACTTGTGCTAGTAACATGAATGAAGCTTTAAGTATAACTTACGATTTCTGGAACAAGCTTATATTATGACTGTACAACTTTTCTTTAATAAAGTTTGGATAAAACTATATATATTTCTTTTTTGGGGTCTTTCTTGAATGGAAACCAGTCTGTGTACCCCAATGTTATAGGTACCTTTAAATATATTTTGATATATGTATTTATTATTCATAATTATTTATTATTATAGATTCATCAGCCTGCCAAAAATGCATTGTCTTTAAATTCATATATTTGAAATTATTTGCATTAACAGTAAAAATCTATATAATTTTCTTTTAAAAATAATTAGAAGTTACTGAACAAAAAGAATCCTCTACTATTGGCCTGCAGACCACTTAGTAACTGTCTTAATGATGAATGTTTTTTAATTGTTTTTATTTTTATCAGGTACAGTTTGATGTTTCTGAAAAGACAGCAGTCAAGATCATTTGAAGATTATAGTAGGTATTACAGTAATGTTATAAGTAGACATGATCTAATTTCTACAACTGGGGCAGAGCCATGGAGAAAATAATATACATTTTTGTAAAGCAGTCATTCTATTATTTGCTTTGTGTGTTTTTTGCTGTGCATGTACTGAATTTGTGTCATGGATGGATACTGGGCATACCCATCGTTTGTTTTTCTATTATTCTATTTGAATTTTGTCCCATATAAAGGATGTCTTGAATTGAGACATAGGTGTTATTTTTCTGTAATAATGCTGTTGTTAACACTTAATGTTAAGTATTTGTCAATGAATATTTGTTCCTATTTAACAGAAGATCCTCTGATAACTTTAATTGTTATAAACAATGCTATATTATTGATACCCATTGGAACAAATATTCTATACTCTTTATTCTGTTAAGAACAAATACTGTAATAAGTCTTCGAGTGATAATAATATTCCATAAATATTTCTTCCAATTCGAACTTATATTATAAAAGATGTTCTGTTGCATGACACATTCAGAAAACCAAGTACTTATGAAAGACCATTGTTTTTTGGTATACTGAACTTCGCATTATTAGCATATTTGTAGCTGAAATGCATGCTGAATATGAGGCTCCACTGCCTGATACACTGTTAACATGAGACATTTTTATGCCCCACCTAAGGGCATAATGTTCTTCGGTCTGTGTGTTCGTTCGTTCGTCCGTCTGTTGTACCGTCTGTTTGTCCGTCCGTCCGTCTGTCCGTCCGTCTGTCCCGCTTCAGGTTAAAGTTTTTTGTCAAGGTAGTTTTTGAAGAAGTTGAAGTCCAATCAACTTGAAACTTAGTACACAAAAATTGTTCCCTACACAGCTACTTTTGCAAAGGTACTATTTCTGTACCAAAAATCTGTTGTACTGGAAATCTACTTTTAATATTCAGTACTTTTTTGTTACTTTAAAATTATTGTTATATTTAGGTACCTGTATTTTACAGTACATGATTTGTACTTGAAATTTAAGTACTGCAGATTTTTGGTTACACCGTTACATTTTCAGCATTTTGAAAGTTTGTCTATTTCAAATCTCTTAAAGTTATGATTTTCAAACATGGAAAATGGCGATCACTGTTAGTATCATTTAAGTACCAAAATTTTTAGTACAAATCAAGTACTGTAAAAAACAGGTACCTAAATATTACAATAATATTAAAGTAAAAAGATAGTACTAAATATTAAAAGTAAATTTCCAGTACTGCAGATTTTTAGTACAGAAATAGTACCTATGCAAAAGTAGCAGTGTATGATATGATCTTTCTAATTTTAATGCCAAATTAGAGTTTTGACCTCAATTTAACGGTCCACTGAACATAGAAAATGATAGTACGTGGGGCATCCGTGTACTACGGACACATTCTTGTTTAAAAATTAGACAGTTCAAGCATGATGTGATGAGAACTAGCCTCAAAGAGTCATAATGAATGGATAAATATGTTATTATAAAAGCTACAAAAAACAATTCTTATTTATAAGACAACATTTCATTTTGATGTCATGTTGTTCAACAAAAAAGTATTGGTCACACCATTATACCAAATATTAAGCCTTTGAACTTCAGTTGTTAAAATTATAGGTGACAGAGTAACACTTGGTGAAATAATTACATGACAATATTACTAAACATGATTGATTGTAATATGGATCTATGGTAAGAAAATGAGATATTTTATTTAAGCCTCTGGTCACGGAACATTTTCATACATCACTGTTCATTTTGAATATTGGCCAGTAGCAGTGTGATAGATGTTAATTTCAATGTAATCTACACCCTGTGATTTATTTCATCTCCAGGGTATATGCAGTACCATTCTATGAAAGTGATTTTTGTCATCGATCTTAATGGAAAAGTCCTGAAAATTAGTAAATCCCTGTAACCATTTATTACATGTTGTCAATAAGTTGATTAAAGCGTCAATGATTTAAATGGTACTGGTTGATTTTTGTATTTTATTTCTTTATATTTCTGTGAAAGAGCTAACTGGTTCATTGGGTTGTTTATCAGTGTTTTCTCAGGCTAACAGTATCGCTGATGGTGATTACTTACTTACTGGATATTGATAGATCTATTAGTGGTCACTCACAGGTAATCTGTAATCAATGATTGGCTAATAGAAAAATTTGACACAGTAGAGAAGCCAATTGTCTCCTAATTATGACATCAGATTTGTTTCTTATGAAGATGCTATTGGTGTTAGGATTAGTATGAAGAAGTAAATAATTGCTAAAAAAATTCTTCTTGTAAACTTATACCAGGTATAGTGAATTTTTATTGGTTCAATGTAAGAATATTTCTTCATATTATATGACATCTAGAGATTATACCAAGATGTCATTAAAAATAATTGTATATCCTGAATTTATCATGCTTTATCATATGACATTAGGGTAAATTGCTGAAACACCCCCTCCTGAATTATTAAAAACTATTATATTTGTGTGTTAACCATAATATCTTGGTCTAATGGTCTATTACCAATTACAGATTTGACAGTTATAACACGCCTTTAACACAAGTTGTTTCCCTTTGTCAATTGTAGACTGGTTCTTAACGGGACAAAATGGGCTGCTGTTACTCAAAGAATGATAAATTGAAAGTGTTATATAGTCATTTTAACCAATTTTTTAATGCAAATATAACTTGATATCAAATTTAAGCATAAAAAAGCATTAAATGTAATTCATGAAAGACTTAAAAGATTAAACACAGATTACTCAGATAAATTTGCTCTTTCTGCTAGCTCTTCATTGTCAATGTCAATGAAATTAATATGTCCCTCTTAATTTAGACAAATCCACAACTGACTATCTCATTGCAGGATTAATTACTGAATTAGCAAATAGACTATTAGATACTCACAATCAGGCTAACAACCTCCATAATATATACATACAAACTAGCCAATGCTAAGGACAATGTATTATGTGTGTCTTTGACATTAGGCTTTTGTTTACTTATCTTTCAAAAAACAGCATTTTGGGGGTTTGTATAAAAAAAATAAGATGTGGTTAATTGCCAATGAAACAACTCTCAACCAGAGACCAAATGATGTAAAAAGGTAAGCTATATATAGGTCACTGTATGGTGTACCATCTTCAACAATGAGCAAAACCTATGCTACATACTACATAACTTAGCTATAAAAGGCTCCTAAATGACAAATGCAAAACATTTCAAATGAGAAAACTAATAGCCTGATTTATGTGCAAAACAATAAATAAAAAACAAATATGATAGACAGCTACGAACGATATCCATTGAATTACAGGCTCCTGACTTTGAACAGGCACATAAAGAATGTGGTGGGCTTAAAAATGTTTGTGGGCACCCCAACCCTCCCCTAACCTGGGACAGTGGTGTAACAACACAACAGAAGAACATACCTATTAAATTCAGGACATTGACATTGACATTGATAAAGAAAAGACAAATTGAACAAAATGAAAATAAGGAGAGGTGGTATGATTGCTAATGAGACAACTATCCACCAAAATTCAATTGAAGTGGATGTAAGCAATTATAGGCAACCGTACAGCCTTCAACAATGAGAAAAACCCATACCGTATGGTCGGCTATAAAAGGCCCTGACATGAAAAATATGAAATAATTCAATCGAGGAAACTAAGGTTTTGTAAGATTTTTTTTAACCATTTCAGGCTTTTTATTATGCTAAAGTACAAGTCTATTTAGTCCATTTTTACATGTTTGTAATATTTGATGTTATTCATCAAAGATAATTCCCATAGGATAATTGCTATTGCTATTTAATAAGAAAAATTCGAACTGTGTGAGTCTTTCACTTGTGTGGAATGAATTTAGTCATAAAAAATAATAACTATTAATATGATAATTTTTATTAAAGTTACCAGAAAGAGCTTAATGCAGTCATGTTATAAGGTAAATTATTGTAAAAAAATGAGTCCTATTTTCCAGATCATTACTTCGTAAAATATGATAATTTTTATGTTAGCATGATGGTCATGTTTCAGATTATTGGATTCTTTTCATTGCAAGTTTCAAGGTTAAATGAACTTGGCGGAAAAAGACAAAATTGGTATGATATTAAAAAAAAAAACAAAATGAAAATATGAAAATTGTGTTAGCTATTCATGCGTTACCGTTATATAATATGTAAATAGAATAAATGGGTGAAAACTTAAAAGAACAGGAAATTCAATTGAAATTTGACAATTACACAGGTACCAATTTAAAGAGCAATAGACCATTTATGTCCATCCTCAATATGTTTGGTGGAAAACCTCATCTGTCATTAGACATGACCACCATATTCTGTCTCAGGATAACTGATTGCAGTGTTGTGATAAAGGTATCTCAAAGGTATTTAGATTTTCTAAGATGCTGAGGAGTTAGTTTGTTGGTTTCTAACAGTATCAGACATACTGAGTATGGTTATTTCATGGATTAAGTTGAGGGAAGTCAGTGTCCTGTGAAAGATTTCATAGATTTAGTTTAGAAGGGTCAATGTCCTTAAGAGAGTTCACGAAATTAGTTGAAGAGGGTCTAAGTTTCCTTTGAGTTCTTACTTCATTAAAACTGCATATAAGAGATTACTTGGCTATACTAAGAAATGAAGCACACTGTATTTTCTTGTTTTTAAAGTGCACCGTCATTTTATTACTTCACTTGTCAAAAGATTTAAAACCATTATTAATAAAAGAACCAGATTTATGTGGTAAAAGCATAATGTTTCAATTGACTGTGTTTTCCTGTAGTCTTAGAATTGTAATAAATCCTCGTTAAGCTGGAAGCAATATTTTGTGAGTGACAAATTATATCATTTTTTCCTCTGACTCCTTCAGGTTGTTGTGATATTATCAGTTTCTCTGTGTGTATTGGCTATTTATCTTGTTATTGGTGACAAAAGTCAATTATACTATGGAAATCATTGTTATATTGGAATTTTCAGCTTGTTTTGTCCTACTTTCCAAGCAATATTATTCTTATATTGATAATGTAGTAGACACTTTTGGCCCAGTTTTCTCTTTGTTCATTCTGTGATTAAGGTCTTTATATTCTTTCCTGTTTCTATAAATTAAAAAAGTGATTTCCAGGATGTGTTTGTTTTCCTCCTGTAAAACCATGTAAACTTTGATTGTTATAATGTTTTCTTCTGTTTTCGTGTTATAGATTGATGTCTAGCACATTGCTACTACATAAACATGACTGAACAACAATATCCTGACCATTGTAAGAAATGAAGTCATTAAAAAAATCTTGCTATTTCATCTTGATATTTCACATTCCCCTCAGCAGCTGCATATATATTTCAATTCATTTAAAAACTGTTATTATTGAATGTTAATGAAATAAAATTATTTTCAGTAAAATGACATACTTTGCCCTTATCTTGAACAACTCAAGTATAAAATAGCAATGAAAAAGACAAACTTGTTAACTCCCAATTAATATGGAATCAAGCATCTGGAATAATTTACAGTAATATGGTTTACAATTTATTTTACATCTCTGATCAAGGATGTACATATATTTATAAAATTACTGTTTTCCCCAAAATTTATTAAAATATAAAACACAGGATATTTAACAAAGTTGAAGAATACCGGTAATCTAATTCAATCTTCAACATTTTGCAGGGGTAGTATACATGATGACCTGTTGACGCTGGTAAGTGACAGTATATATGGCATCTACATGACAGCATAAAGGCAGAAACTGCCTTTAAAAATTTATGTGAATATTTTAAATTGTTATGCCCTGTCTAAGATAGAAGGGGAGATTAGGTTTTCCAGTCTGTGTGTCTGTCACATGTAAGTTGTTAGGATCTGTCTAAGGTAGAAGGGGAGAATAGGTTTTACAGTCTGTGTTTCTGTCACATGTGAGTTGTTAGGACCTGTCTAAGATAGAAGGGGATATTAGGTTTTACAGTCTGTGTGTCTGTCACATGTAAGTTGTTAGGACCTGTCTAAGGTAGAAGGGGAGACTAGGTTTTACAGTCTGTGTGTCTGTCACATGTAAGTTGTTAGGATCTGTCTAAGGTAGAAGGGGAGACTAGGTTTTACAGTCTGTGTTTCTGTCACATTTAAGTTGTAAGGACCTGTCTAAGGTAGAAGGGGAGAATAGGTTTTACAGTCTGTGTGTCTGTCACATGTAAGTTGTTAGGATCTGTCTAAGGTAGGAGGGGAGACTAGGTTTTACAGTCTGTGTGTCTGTCACATGTAAGTTGTTAGGACCTGTCTAAGGTAGAAGGGGAGACTAGGTTTTACAGTCTGTGTTTCTGTCACATGTAAGTTGTTAGGACCTGTCTAAGGTAGAAGGGAAGACTAGGTTTTACAGTCTGTGTGTCTGTCACATGTAAGTTGTTATGACCTGTCTAAGGTAGAAGGGAAGACTAGGTTTTACAGTCTGTGTGTCTGTCACATGTAAGTTGTTAGGATCTGTCTAAGGTAGAAGGGGAGAATAGGTTTTACAGTCTGTGTTTTTGTCACATTTAAGTTGTAAGGACCTGTCTAAGGTAGAAGGGGAGAATAGGTTTTACAGTCTGTGTGTCTGTCACATGTAAGTTGTTAGGATCTGTCTAAGGTAGGAGGGGAGACTAGGTTTTACAGTCTGTGTGTCTGTCACATGTAAGTTGTAAGGACCTGTCTAAGGTAGAAGGGGAGACTAGGTTTTACAGTCTGTGTTTCTGTCACATGTAAGTTGTTAGGACCTGTCTAAGGTAGAAGGGAAGACTAGGTTTTACAGTCTGTGTGTCTGTCACATGTAAGTTGTTAGGACCTGTCTAAGGTAGAAGGGAAGACTAGGTTTTACAGTCTGTGTGTCTGTCACATGTAAGTTGTTAGGATCTGTCTAAGGTAGAAGGGGAGAATAGGTTTTACAGTCTGTGTTTCTGTCACATTTAAGTTGTAAGGACCTGTCTAAGGTAGAAGGGGAGAATAGGTTTTACAGTCTGTGTGTCTGTCACATGTAAGTTGTTAGGATCTGTCTAAGGTAGGAGGGGAGACTAGGTTTTACAGTCTGTGTGTCTGTCACATGTAAGTTGTTAGGACCTGTCTAAGGTAGAAGGGGAGACTAGGTTTTACAGTCTGTGTTTCTGTCACATGTAAGTTGTTAGGACCTGTCTAAGGTAGAAGGGAAGACTAGGTTTTACAGTCTGTGTGTCTGTCACATGTAAGTTGTTAGGACCTGTCTAAGGCAGAAGGGGAGACTAGGTTTTACAGTCTGTGTGTCTGTCACATGTAAGTTGTTAGGATCTGTCTAAGGCAGAAGGGGAGACTAGGTTTTACAGTCTGTGTGTCTGTCACATGTAAGTTGTTAGGATCTGTCTAAGGTAGAAGGGGAGAATAGGTTTTACAGTCTGTGTTTCTGTCACATGTAAGTTGTTAGTACCTGTCTAAGGTAGAAGGGGAGACTAGGTTTTACAGTCTGTGTTTCTGTCACATGTAAGTTGTTAGGACCAGGTTTTCCAGTCTGTGTGTCTGTCACCACATTAATTTTTATGCCCCATCTAAGTTTTGAAGAATTTAACCTTGAAGTTATGGTCACATCAACTTGAAACTTAATGAGATCGCATGTTCATTATGATGTGAACTTTTTTAAATATATGCCATTTAAGGGTTTGGAAAATTTTGCTGTTCACTAAATATGGAATTGTGGTAGTGCAGGCAGAGCATAGTGTCCAATGGACAAAATCTTTTGTTTTTTATCACATAGAAATTATCTTATTTTGTATTGTTGGTTTATTTTATTCTCTTTTGTTAGTTCTGATGATATTGTTGAATTACATATATACTTTTCAAAAGAAATTTGAAGTGACCTTCACACAATGTGTGGCACAGTGTACCTAGATAAATAGAGAAATTAACGGAAAAGGTTAATGTTTGATCCAATAGTTAACAGATGTCAAATGTCAAACCTAAAGAACAGTCCATGAGGAAGAATACTTAATCAGTACAGTTGGTGACAGTCATTATTTTGTGTTCAGTAAAGAATGCCGACATTTATAGAAGAAATATATGTGAATTAAAACCTTGAGTAATGACGTAAAGACTATTAAATATTCAATTGTTGCTGTCAGAGGGGGAAAATTACTACTGTAGCCTAAGTGCTATATGATATTTATAGTACTGTTTACCTTATAACTTTATTATGAAATTTGTTGAAGAAAGTCGATTTTTCTTTAGATTTAATTGAGCACACTGGTTAGAGTCTGTATTGAAAAAACAGAAGATGAAATCTTCAAATAAGTTCAAAATTCATTGAGAAATGAAATCAAATAATAACTTAACAAAAAAGGATCAGTTTAGATTTTTTTGTGGACATTCTGTCATTCAAGACATAATTGTTTAGCTGGACTAAAAAAAATAGCTGTTTCCTGAAAGAAGAAAAAAAGAAGTATTTTCTGTCAATAAATGCTGCTTGATTTACATCTGAGACAAAATTCTTTAGTAATTAATAGATTTTCATGTAGTCAATTAGAAATAATTTGGGTTGAAAGTATAGATTATAAAACACATGATAGTAATCTACATCTTTTGCTCATAAACGCTAAATGCTGAATGCTTGGCAGAAAAACAGCAATTCCAGGGTGAAAATTTTGGTTTGACCTGGACAGAGTTCTACCATAATTCTCAAAGTCACTGACTGAAATTGAACAGTCTTTTACATTACATGACTGAGATAGTACATGCAGAATGTGCTTGATTCAATGCTCATAACAATTGACTTCAAATTAAACTTAATTGAGTGGGTAAGATAGGTCTAAAGAATTGTAAATTCTTAAGGTATATAGTTAAATTTCAACTATAATTATATATATCTTCATTTTCAATTTCAAACTTTTCTTTTCAATTTAAATGTCTTTGATCTTGTCAGCGTGAATAATTATAACCTAACTAATATATCTTGCATAACAAAGTGTGACAAAAGAAGAATAACTATGTCATATTTATTATCTATTTATTATTATTATGTTAGTATTATAGCATGTGTTGTTATGATAGGTATTGTTTACGTGTATGACCTAACGTGTATTCATTTCCAGTGAACAAGTAAGCATTCAAATAATTATAATGATTTATAGCGGACAACTTTGCAGTTTTTATCTTAATTAGAAAACAGGTTAATGTTTATAATCTAAATTTATCAAGTTTTTTATATCCTAGTTTATTTTGAAAATTTAATGGGTTAAGAAATACAAAACTTAATTAGAAATATCTATATATATATATATTTTTCAGATGGGAAGTAAAAATTTGATGGGTTAAGAAATATGACACTTATAAATATGTATGTTTTTTTTTCAGTTGGGAATTAAAAATTTGATGGGTTAACAGTAAACTTGACAACTCTTTGTCTTGGAATAATTTTGTTTCTGTCGGAAAAACAGGTAAGAAATTTTATCATGCATTAAGATTTTATTATTATCCCCTGCCCCCTTTCCTTTTTTTTAAACACAGGTATAGGATTTATTGTACTTACATGAATCTTGGTACATTGTGAAATCCTTATGTGAAGATGAGCATATATATACCTTTTTAGTTTATTGAGTTTTTCCAGTTTTACCCTTTCCTTGAGCAGTTAAGACTTTTCTAATACTATTACTATAATTATTTCAATACAAAAACTTTATTTTTAAATACATATTGCCCTTAAGATGCTTTGACTTTATAAGGTCCAAGCTAAAATCATAGTAACCTTGCTGAAGTGAATAATGTTCTATACAGCAAGTCTGAAACACATCAAACAAAACATATCTATTTTGAAGAAAACTTGCAAACTGCTCTGTGCATATTGTATGACTATGTAGATAATGTGATGTCAAGGCTCTGTCCCTCTTAAATAACTACCTGTTTATAATTTTAGTTTTATCTTATACAGTCATAGATGGAAATCATAAAGTAGAGGTACAGATTTGGTCAAGTACAACCTTTAGGAGCACTGACCTTTGTAGGCCTCAGACAATTAAGCTTTAAATACAGGTCAAGACTTTCAATGTTATCACATTTACACTTTAAGGTCTATAATGGTCTATACAGTTGTGCAGAATGAAAAATAGCAAAATTGGGAAAGGCTTGCAGCGTGCATTTAAAGATATATTTTTAAAATGATATAAAATTTTAGCATAAAACAGAACCTTTTCATCATACAAGTTCCCCAGAAAGGCTATAGTTTAGGCTTGATCTGCGCTGAACAAACTGTTTCTCAGAAATGAGTTTGGTAGGCTTTGCAAGGTTACTACATACCATGAAATAAATATAGAGCTTTAATGATATAGACACATCAACCTTTAAAGGGTTAGTATCCTATGAATTGTTATAATTTTGTGAAATTTAAGAAACAAGGGGGTTTTGTTGCTGATAACTTTACCTTTCTTTTGAGGCCCATTATATTTCGATGCTTTGTCTGTAAGACTGTCTGCCTGTGGTGAAAATTAATTTATATAAAAATCAGGGGGGGGGGGAGGAGTCAAGTACCATAGCAAGAAGATGCCCAGAGAACTTTCAGTAGAGCTGTACTTTACTGTAAACCAATATATTGGTGAGGAATTTATTTTTCGCAGCATTCCTAAGTAGTTGGATAACACTAATATAAACATGTTGTTGTTAGTATGTCAAATTTGGATCTTCTCTTACATGAACAAATGAACAAATTAGAAATCTAATATAAATCGGTGTGAAATTGCCTGAAAAGGGCTAAACACAAAACAAGTTTACATAAAGTATATGGATTGGTGTTTTTATACCACAAAGAGATCTGTAAAAATTACTGCAGTGATATAGAAATTTCATCATCTGTTGCAATAATACAAAATGAATACGTACGTAGCCCAGATGATAAATCATTATAAATATATATATGTTATAGAAAATGATAATAGATTTGATCCTGATTATCATTGCTACAAGCTATTCATATCTTTTTTTTTGTATATATCTGCCATTTGTTGCAACCTGTTGTACAAAAATCTGATAGAAATGTACATTATGAATTACATTTTAAATATTAATGGCCAATAATAAGTTATTTTATGCCTTAAGCACTGAAAAACTTAATGATATATTGTAATAATGGGATACCCAGTATAATTATAGGATCAAAGTTGGCTGAATGCAAAGTTACATACATCATATTACATGTACATCTGTCCTTTCAGTGTAGTCTACTAATTAAACATTTAGTGATTTAATTGTTTGCTATAAATTTCCTGACGTATATATATTCGAAACTTTGTACTAAGCATTTTCCTTAAAACCATGAGTGAAACAGATTCTAACACCTTTACCACAGCGACAACAATAGGTATCCACTCTCAATAGTTTAGATTTTAAATTTTAAAATACTATTTCATTTTAAAGTTTGAAAATTTAACTATCTCAAGAAGATTAGTATCTTAATAATCAATAGTTAAGTGTTGTAGAAGGTCGATGTCAGATATATTGTGGTATGGAAATGCCTTTAAAATAAAACACCCTACAGCTGTAATATTGCATAGGCTATTAAATTTCACTTCCGTAAGGCGAAGTATATGTAAAGGGTCGTATTTTGAGATATAAAAGTTTGAAGGGAATAATCACATGTTTCACCATCTTTTAAGTAAATTCTATACATTTAAAGATCTGTCCACAACTTTTTAATTGATGCATCTCTGGAAGTATAAATACTACATTTATCATTTTTTTCAATGTACAGTTAATTTTCAATGAGTTTCTAAATGCATTCAAAGTTTCATAAAAGGCTGAAACACTGCCAAATCCTGTATACATGTATTTCCTTCTCTTTTGGGGAGTCATAGCCCTTAATAACACCTTTTGGATGATATGAGTTTATTCAGGTTTTATTGTAATATTTCTTTGATAAGGGATGGGATGTGGTATACTATGTTATGTGACTTATGGCAAAGGTACTTTACTGTATTATTAACAGGGAATGTGATGTGGTAAACCACCGGATTTATGGTACCAAAACCTCCAACTTCAGGTTTACTTCACCCTTGGGGAGTTATAGGCTTTTTCATTAATGAAAGACAGGGTTCACCCACAAACGCCTTCAATAATGAAGGTCCACCAATTCCTGTACATTATAATTAACATATAATACAGATACATAAGGTACTTGGACTGTTTAAACATAAAAAGGTGAAATTTTGACTGAAAGGAAATTGAATTAAAAATAGATAGAACTTCACAAGACATACTAAGAGCTCTCTGAAGCCAAACATGTGATCAATGTAGCTGTAACAGAAAGTGTTTAGTAATTTATAAGTTTGGTGAATACATGTACCAGAATTGAACTTACCATTATTAATAATTCAGACAACAGTTGGTCTTAACAATTTGTATCGATCACCTTACAAGGTATGTCAAGTATGCTTATGTAGCATTCTTATAGAAAAAAAAACATGTTACAGATATTTAATGAATATTTTTTTTAGATTATTTGTAAAACATTTTCTAAGTAACAATTGCGAAAAAGCTTTTGCAATAAGACATCTTTGATTATCATTATAAATAGCTTTCTTAGGTTAATAGGTTATTTTTATTTTTATCTTGAAAGTTTCAATTTGAACAGCATTAGGTTATTTTTATATTAATGTTCAATTTGTATGAAAGAAAATTAAATTATGAATTAATGAAGAAGTGACCTCTTGCATTACACTGTTGAACATATATATGGTTTCTGAACAGTGTCATAAGAGTGGTCATTTCTATTCTACATTTATCAGTTGTTATAGAACTGCTCAGGTAAATCCAATGGTAAAGTCACCTGAAACATAAGCTGTTGGCTTACTTGAGCAAAACTGACTTCTGTAGTCAACAGTTGTTTAAATAGCTCTAGTCTAGAAGAAATCGAAATTTAACAGATCTGTTGCAAGAAAAGTATTTCATGGTTTAAAAAAATATCCTTATTTTAATTACTGCGTAAAATTGTTGTTGGGTTTTTTCAGGCAGTAGGTGATGCCCGATAGTTTTGTCATAAAGTGAAAAATATTGTATATAGATATAAGGAGATGTGGGGTGTATATCAATTAGACTGCAACCCAACAAACAATTGATCAACATCTAGATGCCAACATATTGTCCTCAACAATAGACACAGGACAGGTGTATGTAAAATAAGGCAACCTCTTCATTGCCAAAATTTTTGATAAGTTCTACATTAGTACATAATGATCTGTCATCAACACCGAAATCTCTAAATAACAAAAAGAGATTAAGATATGACACAAGACTACCAATGACAAGATTCCTGGTCGGGAACAGTTACAAATACATGTGACAGGGTCAAACTATAAACAACAAGAGCAGTAGTAGACTAAGAACACCTAGCCAACATTACAGTATCCCAAGTTACAAATTATAGCACAGTAAGTAACATTGATATATACTGAGGAAAATAGTTTGACAATAATTGGTAGATAAAATAATTACTGGTCTATTTATGTCTAACACAAGCTATACTCAAAATATATCTCTCTCCCATGAGAAAAAGATGAAGATAGAATGCTTTGATGGATAAATGGTTTATAAATGATTTAATTCTTGGTTACTTAAATATTTAATCTTTTTATTTTATAATTTACAAAGAAAGAAATGTGCAGAAACTTTTGCTAATTTTATATAAAAAGACACTGTAATTTGTAATTTACACATTTTCCCATAAAAATTATGGATGACGCATAATGTTACAAAACAAAAAAGCAAAAAAATTAGATTGACTTTCATTGATTTTTAGCTTGCCTTAAGCCAAACAGGACATTTGAGCCATTACCATCACTTTATGTCTGTCATCTATCCATTACCTTCAACTTTATAAAAAATCTTCTCCTCTAAAACTACTGGGTCTAATAATAACCAAACTTTTCCGGAATGTTTGGACACTCTTTTTGGAGTTATTGTCTCTGAAATGTTCATTTTTGTCTAGCCTGCGACTTTTGTCGCAGAAAGCTCGACATAGGGATAGTGATCCGGCGGCAGCGTTAACTAACTTCTTAAAAAGCTTTATATTTTAGAAGGTGGAAGACCTGGATGCTTCATACTTTGTATATAGATGCCTTATGTTATGAAGTTTCCGTCTGTCACATATCCATTGTCCTTGACCTCATTTTCATGGTTCAGTCACTACTTGAAAAAAAAGTTAAGATTTTTTGTAATGTTAAGTTCTCTTTTATTATGAGTAATAGGATAACAATATTTGGTATGTGCGTACCTTGCAAGGCCCTCATGCCTGTCAGACAGTTTTTACTTGACCTCGACCTCATTTCATGGATCAGTGAACAAGGTTAAGTTTTGGTGGCCAAGTCCATATCTCGGATGCTATAAGCAATAGGTCTAGTATATTTGGTCTATGGAAGGATTGTAAGGTGTACATGTCCAACTGGCAGGTGTC